CAGATATATATACCTATATATTTAGATTATACATCCTCAGACATTCACATATATATTTAACAATTCAATATCTGTGACTAGTTACAGTGAGATTCTTTGGGATATAACTGAAGAGATGTAGGGAGTCTGGCTCCTCCAGTCCCAGCCCTAAAAAGAAGAGAAGTGATTGAGTTGGAAATTAAGAACTCAGGAAGTGTCCTTTCCTATCATATGGTCTAATCTGTTACTCCCTGTCTTTCCTCTACTGTAACCACAGGTGGTTTCTGAAGCATTTCACATACTCAACAAGAACTCATCAGTGATGCTTCTTTAGACATAAAATTCCCAACATGAGGTGTCACTATATTTTTCATAGGTATGGTCTAGATCTAGAATATGTAATGACCCAACACAAAAAAAACATATTTGGAAAAAATGTCTAAATCCATGGCTTAAATAATCATCTAGTCTGCTACTCAGATCTGAAACGGTTCTGTGCTCTTCAGTTTTAATTTGTTCCAGTGTTTCATTCTGTTTCTATAGAAATAAAAGTAGTTTCACCAAATCCTATACCAAGCACAGCAGATCTCTTCTGGGAGATCAAATGCCCTTGTGCTCGTCTTGACCTGCTCTGTTCCACTACACACCTTGCCTGATTTTATGCTGCTCAAGGGAAGCTTCTAGATGTCTGCAAAGGTGTCTGTTGAGGTAATACATGGAAGAAAGGCCTTCTTGGAAAGGCGCTACCAAGACAAGATCATATGAGATTTTGTGAAAGGGAGCAGGACAAAGAAGTGGCAAATAAATAATAATCGTTATCCAATTTTTCTCCTAAAAATGCCTGTAATCATTTGGACACAGTTCACTGAAGCAAACTTCAGCTTGCATATTGATTTCTGCCCCTAAGAAAGCTGAGGGCACTCCAAGTCACTTTATTCAATGGGCTTCATTCAGTTTTCTCATCTGTAAAATTAGGGGTTTGACTAGATGATCTCTAAGATCTCTTGCTGAGCTAACATTTTGCCTGGTTGCCAGAAATACTTTAGGTAGCTCCCAGCCTGTCAATTTTATTTCAGCACCAGCTTAAAAATGAGCTTGAAATCTAGTTAAAGGTTCACCCGTGGAACTCGTGTGCTTTCCAGGGACTCCTAAAGCTTTCTACATTTTTATTGTGTTTTCTTTACCTGTTCTAATGGGTATAACTAGAAGCTGGGAGAAAAAAAAATTTCTCTCTCTCTTTTTTTCCACTTTCTCCCTTGGTTTGGCTGAATCAATTGTGTCCACTTCACACCTACTTTTTCTTTGCTGTGATGATCAAGGTCAAGGTGGTCAGGCAGTGTTAGCCTGGGTCAGAACTCCAAAGTTGCAAAGGTATGTCTTCATTCTTGCTTTCTTCTCTCTCTTTTTTTAAAGTCTACTCTTCTCTCATTCATCATCCAACTTACCCATTCCCATGTCTCTTGTCATAGAAAAAACGGATCAGATAAAGTCTTTCACATTATTTCACACTAAGAGGTTAATGATTTAGGAGTTCAGGAAGTGAGATCTCCATTCTAATACAACCATAGTGAATGCATCCTTGGCTGGAAAAATAACGGTGACAATTTAGGCATGGTCCTCTAGAAGCCCATAGTCTGGGGATTCACAGCAAGTTAATTACAATTATCCAAGAGGATGAAAAGTACTTTTAAAAATCTGGTAAATAGAGGGAGCTCTGGACATCAGGGCTTCTAAGATCAGACCTGAAATATTAGTGGCTAGTTAATGATCTAAGAGGTGGGAGAACTGGGTAGAAGGAACAGATATGCAAAGGGTCAGAGAAAAATGGAGATACTAGATACTAGGAATTTCTCCTTTAATAAAAGAATAAATGTAGTCCCAGAGAGTTTAAATGATTTACCTAAAGTCACATAACCAGTAGAGGACCAAAATATGGTTTTCTATCTCTTTATGCTAAATATATGACCCTCCCAGAGGAGAGTGCTTTTAAAAGAGGACCCAGTGAAAATTCTGCAGATTAGTTCTTAGGGAATGTTTCTCTACTGGTGGAATACAAGTCACTGTGCCACGTGGATGAAGGAAAAATAGTCCACAGCAGGGAGGGTCTTCCAAGTCTTTCTCTAATCACATTATCCAAGGCTCTACCACTTACTGTCAGCTCCCATTCCAGCTCTGTCCTTACCTGCTACTTTCCAACGAGCCAATGTTCTTTCACCAGTGCCTGACAGTCCTGCCTATCTGCTACCCTCAATACCTCTGTACAAAAATGCCACAAGCTGGCAGCCTGCAGGCTTAATTCAGATTGCACAGCAGTTCTATTGGGCTTGCATCGCACTGCCTCAAATGTTGTTTAAAAGCAAAACAAAATGAAATTGGGTAAGTTGCCAACATTTCAAAGTTGGGAGATTTTACATAATAATCCACTGTGCATCTTTTGAAACATTAAGATATCTGGGCCATTGTGCCCATTTCTTCACAAGGCAACAGAGGCAGTAAGTAAGTAGCAGCTGGTATGTTTTGATAATAGCACACACTCTCCAGTTGGCTATAGCTTCCACCCAGCCACCTTCTGCCATTTATTGTTATCTAATGGGCACGTCTTTTCAACTCTTTCGTGTACTCTAGGGTAGATGAAAGACCATTTCACAAAACTCCTGAAAATTGTGACTGCCAAGCTCTCCAACTTGAAAAAATTTTGAAATCATAGGCTTGCTTTTATAATCTTCCTCTTACCATGAAAACTATGGGACAGTTTATTAAAGTTGACTTGCAAAATTGCAAGAACCATATTTCTTCTGAAGGATTACTACAAAACCACTGGAGGTCAGAGCATTATCAACATAGCTCAATGATTATGGTTTCTTAAAAGCTTTTCTTAAGTCATTTCCTCATAACATTCTAGGGCTAGAAAGGAAACAAAATGCCATATAATTTAAATGCCCACAGTAAATGTCCTTTTCTAACATCTTACTAGGTGGTGATTCAGCTACTGCTTGATTATTTCCAGCAGTGAAGAACCCTTCATCTCTCTTCAACTAAGTCCGTTTTCAAAGAGCTTTGGCTACTAGAAAGTACAACTATTATGGATTGAATTGTGCTCCCCCCTCCCCAAAGTTTAATGTGTTGGAGGCTTACTCCCCACTGTGACAATGTTAAAAGGGTGGGAAATCCTATTATAGTAATTGAAAGATGGTAGTGAATAGATTAATCCATCTGATGGTTTAACAGTGGTTGTGGGTGTGGTTCTGAGGGCTTTAAAAGGAGAGCACGGGAGAACTTTCTTTTCTGTGCTCTGCCATGTGAGACCCCAGTGTTGCTATAAAGCCACCAGAAAAGAAGACCCTCACCAACTGTGTTCCCTGGTCTTTGAACTTCCCAGTCTCTGAAACTATAAGCAATAAATTTCTTTTTCATACAAATTACCCAGTTCCAGGTATTTTGTTATAAGCAATAGAGATGGATTAATACAAAAACTTCACCAGAATTTATCTCCATATAGGGCCGGCCCCCGGTGGCGCCTTGCTACAGTGCGCCGCTTGGGAAGCGCGGAAGCGCTCCCACCGAGGGTTCGGATCCCACATACAGACCGGCCACTCACAAAAAAGGAAAAAAAAAAAAAAAAAAAAAAAGAATTTATCTCCATATAGCTTTCACTCATTGGCCATAGTTTTATTCCTTGGAAACTTGAGTAACATTCTACTCGTCATTCCTTATAATAGCCCTTCAGGTATTTGAAGAGTTATCATGTTTCTGAGGCTTTTTTATTCAGCTAAATATCATCCTCAGTTCTTTCATTCATTCCTCAGGTTGTATGAGTCAGCCTCCTGGTCACATTCTCAGTGTGTGCTCTGGTCTACAAAACTGGCCATCATCAATTCCCTTTCTCCCTGCACACATATGCCACTCCTCACATCAAGGGGAAGAATCTATTTCCCTCCCTTTGAATCTGAGCTGGCCTCACAGTAGCCAGTTTCCTCCTGAGCTTTTAAAAGGACTGGCAGCTTCTGCTTTCTCCATCATTGAAGTCAGCAACCATGTAAGAAGTTTGACTATCATACTGTGAGCTCACCATAGTGAGAGGAAGCCCAAGTTATCCATAAACAGAGAGTGATCCCCTGGCCAGCTTCCAGCTTTTCCAACCATTTTAAGTGAGAAGCCAGAAATGTGTGAAAAAGTATCTTAGTCATTCCAGCCCTTGAAATGGCGCGTTTTGGCCCAGTCCAGACTGCTGAGTAATCAAAAATGATACATTGTTGTTGTTTAGGCCCCTAGTTTTGGAGTGGTTTGCTAGGCAACAATATTTTAAGTGAGAAGCCAGAAATGTGTGAAAAAGTATCTTAGTCATTCCAGCCCTTGAAATGGCCCGTTTTGGCCCAGTCCAGACTGCTGAGTAATCAAAAATGATACATTGTTGTTGTTTAGGCCCCTAGTTTTGGAGTGGTTTGCTAGGCAACAATACGTAGCTGAAAAGCTTGTCCAAGATGTTTATAATTCCTTTTAATTGTGGCAACAAGGCCACATACATTTTCTTTTCATAATGGCAAGCCAACATTTATGGGATCAGGAAAACAAATTCTCTAAAAAATTCTCACTTTTTCTCTATATAAATCTTCCTAATTATAGAAACAGATGAACAAAAATGATTAACCATTAGTAATATTGAGACGTTACTATTGTTGATCAAAAAAATACAACTAAGACAAGAAACAAAACTAAGCTGACAGTAGAAATGTTTAAAAAAAAAAGTGTTTCTTCAGGATTTCTTGGGGACCCAACCCCAGGGCCTTTAACATTTCTGATTGATGCTGCCTAAGCCTAAAATTTAGGTGATTATCTAAATCCTTGCCAGTTGCCATGGACTATTTATAAAACTCAGATCAAACCACTTTGGGGACAGAGTTCTAAAAAGGCTGAGAGAACATCATCAGGGAAAGTGAGAAAATGGATCGTATGATTCATGTAAGGAGACTGTCCTTACTATCAGCCTGATTAGGTGCTTTTGCAAAAAAGAAATTACCCACTTTGTATCCTTTTACTTCTGACTCATTATCCAAGGCCTTCACTTGATCCCAATTCAGGATAATTTTGGAGTCCGATGAATTCCATATGATGTTTCCGGGGGGTTGACTTGGTGCTATAAAAAATTAAGATATAGGAAGTCACAGATTATTAAATCTCAATGGATTCAGAGGAATATCTCTGTACTAGAATTCGAGAGTGGAGGCAATTTGATGGGCTATTGCACTAATATGTGTCTTCAAGGTCACTAAAATCTGATGAGATACAGCATTGCAAATGGAAAAAGTTTCAGTTGGTCGCCTAACATTTATAGCTAAAGGAAGTAACCCTTCCCGGTGAGGAGAAAAACATTTGTCTTTCTGTCCTCTGGAGCAATGAATTTTGCATGGTATTCCATAAGGTTCAGTTAAAATGCTAAGGCAAATCTGAATCCATGTAATGATACCAATTAGCATGCAAATGATCATTGGGAGGTGGGGACGGGGAATGAACTTGGGATATATTTGATGAATCCCCAAAATATTTCTGAGTGAGTTTGTTCTTACGTGGCTTTCTGGTTGTCACATTGACCGTGGCACTGGACGGGCCTGTCCCAGCGGAATTATATGCCTTGACAGCTAAGTGATACAGTGCACTGCCTTTTAAATTGGTGATTTTTGTCGATGTCTGATTTCCGACGGTTCGTATTTTTCTAGCATTTTCTTCCTTGTCTTCATGTCTCCAATATTTAACCTGGGAAAAAGAAAGACCTTGGAAATCATATCCACTGGGGATATTTCCAATGTCATCAAGTAATAATTTTTTAATGCAGATTCTTATGATGGAGATAATTTTCTATACCAATTCATGAGCAGAGTGTTCACAACAAAGAACTCTGTATGTTCTGAAAAATTATCCACAGTAAGAAGGGCCCCTTTTTGTTCTTAGCTTCTGAGTGAGATGGTAAATTGCCACCACCATTTTTGGTTATTTCTTCCTTTTTCCCCACCTTTGCTTAGAGCTCCAGTAATCCTGGATATATCAGAAGTCAAAGCTCATTTTGCCAACCATTGCTTTAATGCTGAAACTTGCATACATTTTGGAAAATGCCTCTAGAGTGTAACACAGAGAAAGGGTAGTCTCACAGCTGAACATTCAATGTTTCCAATAATGCTTGGCTAGAACCAGGCCTAAAACAAATGCCTCTAAATGGGAATGTGGGTCTTCTCCCATCACAGTGTGTCTTGGAGGCTTCATGGCAGGGTATGGACACTTTTCCAGACCCAAGGTACATATCCCTTGTATACCTCATAACCTTGTATCCGTCCTCTATTCTTCTCCAGCGGGGAGGCCCAGAAAACTTCAATGTCTGTGGCAGAAAGACTTCTGGCAAAGATGCTGGCTGGTGGTTTGGTGGGTTCTGCAGATGAATATGGAAAAAGTTATTAGTCTATCAGCTGTATCAGGACCAGCTTCTAGATATTGTTATAAGGTGCAAAGAGTCCATTGTTATACATTTGTCTTTAATGACTGTGAGCTAAACCCTCATTTTACAAAGAAGCCATGATTAGCAGCTGGGGTTGGGGTGGGGGGGTGGGGGGTGTAGACTTGTCCAAAGTACTTGGGTTCTAAATTTGAGGGTAAGTGGAAGAGAAGTAACCAAGGACTACTTAAGTTTAAGCACCAAGTTTTCAGTCTGCAACTCCCTTAACATAACTTCTTCTTAATTAGCATTTTTCATTGGTAACAGTCCTAGTCACTGGATTATGAAAATGAGAAAAGCAAAAAAGACAGTTAACTGTCTTGACTAAGATTGAGAATAACTGGGTGACAGTTCAGTTTCACACTGCAATCTGGATGCTCTCGAACAAGTAATTTACACTCTCTGGGCCTCAGCATCGTAAGCTGCAAAGGAGAGGCTGGATCAAATGTTTCCCAAATTTCATTGCCAGATTTTTGCCAGACTTGTGTACCTTTTGTATATGTTAATATTTTCTTTTCAATAGTCTTTCTAAAGAAAAACCTAATTTAGCCATATCGTAAGCAATAACAGTCATGAAATCTTGGGCTCAATTTGATAGCTATATTTTTACTAATGCAATTCAAATCAATACATAATTATTAAATATCTTTAAAAGTTCATCTCGTATCATTTAAAATCAACTTGTGCTCTCCTTCTGGAATGCACATCACACTGCAAGAAATGTCAGACAAGAAGACCTCTAAGGTTTTTTTCTATCCATAAAAATATAAGATTTTATTTTTGTATCAACTATTCAGCATTTATTAAGGGTCTGTGTATCATATATGGACATTGGTGACATATAAGTGAAAAACAAATGGCCCATCCTCAGGAAACATGTCTTAGTGAGAACATAAAACTAAAACTCAAAATTTATAAAACACTGGGGTGAGAATTACAACAGAGGAATTGTTAAAAAATTAGGTGAAAGAGAAGAGCTTATTCAATTCAGCTGCCTGGGGAAATCAGAGAAGGACCTGGTCGTGAAGATGAGGCTTGTGAATTCACAAGGTGAGCAAGATGGGGAACAAGAGCAAGTGAAGTGTATGCAAAGGCTGAAGCTTGTTTGGACAAGTGTGAATCCTTTGGTCTGAGTGGAGCATGGAGCATGCAGGAAGGGGTGGAGGCACCTGAGGCAGGCAGAGTCAGGGACTAGATCATAGAGGGCAGCTCAGTGTAAGGCGATGATTTCTTTATTTAGGGGGAGGAATTTATTGCATCTTCACTGACTCCAAATCAATGACTCTACTTTCAGATGTTTTTATATGGTCTCATTCCGAACATCATCTTTAAAACAATAGGGATGAACTCCAGTGGTGATGAAGACTGTGAGAGGCAACCTGAGATCAAGGATAGCACAGAAGTGGGAATAGTGTGTGAGAAGCATTAAACATAATGACAATGTGGATGACCATGAGCGTAATCACACTATCACACTGCTTCGTGACTTACTCTTTTCTTTAATAAGTTAGAATAAATTTTAAATACAATATGATTTATAAAAATACTAGTGGTAAGAGGAATTGCAAGTTATATGATGATATTTACTTAAAGGCATAAAATAAAATGTAATTCTTTGGAAAATAATGATAACAGATAGATACGAAAATCTTACGAGGTCCTTGCAATTTTGGTCCTTAGCAATGGCATTAATAATGGATAGCCATGTGAATTTATACACAGTGGAGATGCTGTTTTATCAAGAAATTGTTGGTGGATAATGAACCAAATTTTTTATATTATACTCTTCTCAAATTAGGATATGCCTTCAATTTATGTGTTCAGTGCTAAATTAATTGTACATCCTAAAATCAAAAACATTTGAGAATTGAAGAAATATCAATTATCTGGACTGCATAAACCATACCTTCTTCTGCAGAATACACCACTGTGGTGGGGCTGAAAGGGCCTTCTCCTTTATTGTTGAAGACGCCCACTTTAACCTCAAACGGAGAGAAGGGACGCACACTCTCGTTCCTGAACACATATCTGGAGGCGTCAGCTGAGGCCAGCACCGTCAGCATCCAGATCATTTTGCCATAGGGCCGGAAGGCCACCACGTAACCAAAGCCTCTACCATTCTGTAATTCCTCGGGGACCGTCTGGGAAAGGAGGAAGGAGGTCTTCAGAAGTCACAGTAGTTTGATTCAAATGCTAAAATTGTCCCCCATCCCAACATTCTTGCCTACGTTTTTGCCTGCCTATCTTATTTTGGGTTTTGTCAAGAGGTTTTAAAACTTAGGGCTTGCTGTCAGTCTACTTAGGTATCCATGAGGTATTGGAAATGATGTCAGGGTTAAAAAACAGAGTGAAAATCTACAGCACAGAGCCTGGCTCCTCAACGGAGCAGACCCAGTGCTGAAATAGTTGGAAATGACTGTGAAAGAACTGGACAGTTGATCTACTAAAAACCAACATTTCCAACACGTACCATCTACTACTAATCTTCCTCCAGTGCTAAATAGACAAAAGACCTCATGGAAGAGTAGACCACCGTGGCTCCGGCAAGACCTTCCCTCTTCAAATGAAGAGTTCAGCTGGAGGGGAGAGTGATTTCTGTCACTGCTGGGGCTCTGGGCAAATAGAAGATTTTAATTTCTGGGGCTGTTGTCTAGAATCTTTCAAAAACATGAAGAACCTTTTCTGAAGTTCCCACCTCCTCTCTCAAAATCAATCATTAATAAATTGGGACTAACCTTCCTCCAGGTTGTTTAAAAAAATACCACATAAAAGAGGGCTCCAGCAGCAGCAGAGCCAATTGCCAGGAAATCGTGCTGGTACACTGTATCTATTGCTGGCAGATATTTTAAATCAATTAGCCATGCAGCAATTCAGGAAGAAAAGAATAACTGGTTTGCTCTGAACCAGCCTCCTTTAAGTTCTTTTTTTTTTTTTTACTTGTGTCATCTTCCCTTTCATGATTGTTTTTTCTGGGACGAACTGAATTAAAACTTGCCTCAACAACTGATGGGCAAGCACTCTTTTCCTGCTAGCCGTTAGCTATGTGAGAGGGAGTCTTTGCACTCAAATGGATTTTAGCTGTTAAGCACAGAGGAGGACCCTTCCCAGCTATGTTTAACATGGAAGAAAATAATAAGATAGGCTAGATGAATGGATGTTCCTTTCGTTCCATGATTCATTTACCTCCCAGGTTATAACCAGCTCTGATTTGCTGCCTCCACCACCACTGACGTTAGCTGGCGTGACTTCGGGGACTGCACAGGAGACAAAAAACAAGTTATGTCAGGTGGCAAAGGCAAATGAGAGCCAGGAAGGTTGCCTGGCTATGGTGACTCGCTTTCAACAAACACTCTGATGCATATGCCTTTGTCTTCTGAGATCAGAAACAGTGTCATCAGGGGGCCCACAGCATCAACTCAAGGAAGTGAAATGCACCAAGGAAATTGCTATTAGTTACCTGTGTCCCGTTCAACAAGGTCCACATGTTATCTGACATGTGTGACCAATGGTTCAGCTCCATTCCTAGAGGACAAAGGGTTCCAGGGAGGAGGAAAGGACTGAGGGTCTGGTCTAATGCTTGGCGAGGCATTTATTAACCATGTGGTGGTACACAGAGGAAAGACAGCACACTGCCCATGCAGAGCTTACAATCTAGTAGGAGGGCACGGGCAGCCCATTACAGAGCATTGTTGACAACACACGAGTACGGTGCAGACAGAATGGAGAGGCGCAGTGGTGTTCTGGAGAAGCAGGATGCTCAGAGCAGGGTTGGGCTAATGGCCTCTTGGAGGAAGGTGAGTTTTGAGCTGGGAGTTGAAGGAAGTGGTGGACATAGGTTGACCCCTGGCTCACTGTGCTTAACCTCTTTGATCCCCAGTTTTCTCTGTAAAAGAGGGGAAATTATGCAATTATGCTAGCTTCCTCCTCAGGATCACTGAGAGGAATTAATTAAATCACAGTTTTGGAGGGGGGAAGGAAAACATGGGATTAGCTATATTATCATCATGTAACTGAAAGACTCCAGACAGGGTTTTCAAACGTCTGACTGGGGTATGTAGCTGGTGACTGGGTATGACCCCTTGGTTAACGGCAATGAAATAAATCTAGAGGGATTTTTTTTTTTTTTTTTTTAGTAGGGCCAGTGTTCCTGTTAGCTTGGGGACCTTGCTATAATTCCCTCAACCAACATTTGGACTCTCCACAGCTGGGAACTCTACAAAGTCCACACACATAGGCCTCCCACTTCACATGAGAGATGTACAACATACCCAGATGAATTTATGTCAATCTCTCCCTGTGCTCATTCAAGCTGTATACACACAGCACCGTACTAAATTGCTGACTGGTCTTGTAACCCCTTGGTCAACGGCAATGAAATAAATCTAGAGGTTTTTTTTTTTTTTTTTTTAGTAGGGCCAGTGTTCCTGTTAGCTTGGGGACCTTGCTATAATTCCCTCAACCAACATTTGGACTCTCCACAGCTGGGAACTCTACAAAGTCCACACACATAGGCCTCCCACTTCACATGAGAGATGTACAACATACCCAGATGAATTTATGTCAATCTCTCCCTGTGCTCATTCAAGCTGTATACACACAGCACCGTACTAAATTGCTGACTGGTCTTGTATAAGTCAGCAGGATGTTCTGAATCTTAGCTTCTGGGAATGGTTTACATCCTAAGAAATCTTAGTGAACAATTCTGAAGAAAGTATTCTTGGCCATTAGCGATTTCTATGAGATGATTTCATTTGAAATGTGGGTTGTATATTTTTAAAAAATATCCTGTTTGGAGAATCTTGGTGACAAACAAACCAGTGAAGAAAGATTTTGCTCTTGAGGGAACTAAGCACAGTGTGTTTCTTGCTATAGAAGTGGACCCAAGGAAGAGAACCTAACTCTTGCTTGAAAGTCACTGCCTGTTAAGCTAAGCTTCTCCTGGCCTGATTTCTGATCATTATAATCATTTAAGGGGAAGGGTGTGCTAATATAGAGCCTCATTAGGGCTGAAGAGCAGGAAGAATTCAAAGCCTTTCCCTAAAAAACCTTAGCTGTTGGTACAGACTGTCTGTATCCCTGGTGCTACTCACGGGCCTCTTCTGTCCTCCGTTTCTCTGAGGGCCGACTGGGTTCCCCAATCCCGATCACGTTGGCTGCAACTGTGCGGAATTCATATTCAACCCAAGGATTCAAACCCACCACGGTCGCGGTGAATGTCTTCCCATCGATGAGTTCTGGGACTGAAAGACATCAAAAGGCGGGGATGTTTCACAGGATTCCCAGAAAACAAATGCAGAGTCTGTATTAGGAAGATAGGAACTTCCATCCACCATCATCACGATTGCATTCAGGCATTGCAGGTGGTCTGATAGTAGCTGCACAAATAGCTGTTACAGTGAATAATCTCAGAACTCTATGCTAAACTAATAAACTCAAATCAGACAGCAGCAGATGATATCCTAAAACATACAACGTCCTCAAGGCCCAAAGCTACTTGACGGTAATCACTGTTGTCACCTAACATGTTTCTGAGCATTTACTTATGTAGTGCCAGGCACATCGTTTAATTCTGATGACTATCCTACGAGTAAGGTAAAACTGTTGTATTCATTCTTAAACAATTCTTACTGTACCCGTTTAACAGAAGACAAAAGCGTAATGGGCAGAATCAGGACTGGAATTCATCTCCTATAGATTTTTCTCATCTTTCCTTCCTAAATCACTCTTGTGATTCAGTAGGAAGTCAGTGATTATAGCAAGAACATGGAAACCCATTTTTGAGGTCTGATAAGCTAAAATGAAAAAAACTGATGTTAAAATCAGCACAATTCATATGAATTGCATAAAACAGGTATACCACTCCATTTATTTCTATTTCAAAACATCACAGCCAGACAGCCAACCCTTGGGGACTAGAAGAGTGTGTATCTTGCTTGTAAGAACTACTTATTCATCCAATTTTTCCTCAAATGAAATCTAAATTAAAAAAGAGTCAATTTGGAGGTATTGACAGAGGTGGAGCTGGTATAAGAACTGTTTAAGTCCCCAAAGAGAAATGATTATACAACTTTTTTGAAAATAGGAAGTGCTGTATAAATAAAGAAAAGGAGGAGGATAAAAATACTGCAGCTAACAATGGTTAGGAAAAAAACCAACTAGAATTGTAAAACTGGTGGGAAAAAACCCCCAAAAACTCATGCCTCTTTCTCCCCAAATTTTTCTATCTGAAAAAATGGGCCACAGGAGGCTCCCTAAAGCCCTTAGTTATGGTTTTTTTGAGAGCAGTGTAGAAAATTTCCAAACACTGTGATTGTAGACTAGCATAATCCACTGCTTCCCAAAGTGCACCAAAGTGGTACACAGGAAATTTTAGATAACACACAGATTGCTGCATTTTATTTTCATAACTAATGTATTTTTAAATGTGTGTTAAGAAAAATATATATATATAACCAGCACAACAGACTTATTATTTTACAGATATTATTGCTTAGCACGAGTTAAAAACAAATGTGAGTTAGATAAAGAAAAATAGTAAATAAATGATAGTATAGTTGGCTGAGGTCTGAGAGACATTGCCATAATATATCATTTGGAGCTGTGTCTGAGTGATAGCTTAGATGCCCTTTGGCTTCTGCCACAGTGCTTTGTCTGTTGAGTATGGCAAGTTCCAGAAGTCCCTGAGAGACACTAGCACCAAGCATCTGATATGGTACCTGTATTGACTGCTTGCCAGCCTACAGAGAATGGAGTCCTGGCTTGAATGACATACATGGTGATGGGGCTGTGGTTGTCGGGTCCGGGTCTCCAGGAGAGCTGAGCAGTGGTGTCTGTGATTTCATCTATGGTCACAGCTTCTGGGGGACCTGGGGAACCTGGGAAAGAGCAAGACCCTTAGAATTAGAGAGTGTGTTCAAATGTCCAAGTAAATGATCCACTAACTTGGGATGTTGACTCAATCAATCATTTATTTACCCACTCACAGATTCATTACTTGTCAAATCTTTTTTTTTTTTTTTCCCTGAAGATGAGAAACCATGTCAGACACAGAAGTCCTGGCCATAGGGGCCAGCTGGTTTCTTTCTGGAAAAATTCTCTACAGTTTTACTTCTCCACAGTAGAAGTCGGGACAGTTCCCTTTGGATGGGACTGACTTGGAGCTCTTGGGAAGGGAAAGAGGTGTTCTTGAAACCAAAGGTACAACCCCAGGCTTTCCTCCTCTTTCCCAAAGGCTGGAGAAAGTGCAGCTCAACACTGCCAGTGGGGAAAGGCCAAACTGAGGCTTCTGCCGAGGCAATCACCCCCCCACCCCCATTACTCCTGTGACCCAAATCTGCTCTCCTAACCTTTCCTGTTTTCTTAGCTGGGAATGGTAGAGGGCCTGCACCTGGTCTCTCAGGATTCAGAAGTCTCCTGGCAAGGTCATGCCACATCAAAATCCTTTTTGAATACCTACTAGGTCCCCAGAACTCTGCTGGGCTCTGAAACTAGAGACATGAATGAGATATGGCCCCTTCCTTCTAGGGACCTACAGTATAATCAGAAAAACTAATAGGTAAAGAATTACAATAGAATATTTGTTTTCATGTTAAAGGAGAATACTGGGGTACCATAAGAGCTCAAATTCATTAATTCATTCACCATATCTTTAGCGGTTCCTACCATGGGTCAGGTACTGTTAATCCGGAGATACAACAGTGGCAAAAGACGGATATCACTCCTGATTTCATGAAGATTACTAGTTGCTGGAAATGGTTATTTCTACTACTGAGGATGGAAATTTGAGTGGAAATGGCTTTAAAACTTTGGGGGTCACAGTGTTGCTCTGCATGTCTGCTGCATCATCATTCCCAACACTCCCCTCACACCCCACACACTTCGGTGCAAGGGAACCACTGTGAAAATGGCCAGAGCTCAGGACTCATCAGGCTCTTCCTTCTTCAAAGCAATTTCAAAATTGGGCTGCAGTCTAAAAACCCTCATTTGTAGTTTCTGCAAGTCATACCTGTATTTTTCTACTTATCCTCCCGATGTTCACTGTTTCTGTCCATGTTCTTAAACCATTGAAAAGGGAGGAAACCAGATGTAAATGAAGGCTTGTAAGTTATAAAGGAACAGAGGGATGGAAAGCAGTTGGCAGTCAAAGACAAAATATCAACACAGCCACAGCAAAGACTCCAAGCAATCCTAGTTTGCAACATGAAAATTTCTTACCAGGCAGTTAAATGCTTTTTTAACAAGGCACAATTAACCACCTCAGGAGAGAAACTGATTGTGAGGGGGACATAATGACAAACCTCATATCCATTAGACAGGCATAAGGAGATATTCCTCGGAGGGATTTGCTAATCCCCAGCACAGCAATCAAATGTACTGCCAAAATACCATGGGACCATGTCACAGGGATAGGGAGTGGGGCGGGGGTGGGGGGAAGAGACCTCCCACAGAGTGGTGGCAAGAAGTTAATGGCAATTTCCCAAAGCTGAGACTTTGTCCTAGGATTCACTCCACCCTTTATGTGATGCCCTAAGTTCTCTTTTCATTTTTTAAAAATCATTTTTATAGACCCACAGGTGGGACTAAATTTATCTTCTCCCTCCCACTCCTGAATGAAATGTCTGGAAATCTGTATGTGGGAACTGATTAATTTTCCATGTTGACATTTCAGCATGTCAATCTAATGCCACCTTAGATAGGGCTAAGGTAACCTTTGTTCTTTGGGACCCTTATTAACCAGATAAAGTCCAGAAGACAATAGAATCTTCTTTTTTTCTCACCAGCTTTCTCCTGCTAGCACCCCCATCCTTTTTTTCTTTATAGATGCTGCTTTGATGGCCTTTAAAATCTAAGTACCACAAATAGAAAAGTATTTTCCTCAGAACTCCTCCAAAAATTAAATCTATGGGAGTATGTGAGCCCGTTGTTGACCGCTGTGTAAGAAGGAAATGAGGGGCAGAATGAATTTGGCCATTGGAGAGAAGATGGTTCTTTCATGGGTTTGTTTGTTCCTTTTTATCTTCCTGCTATCCACACCCACGAATGTGTAGATGTGACCTTACAGTATGTTAACCAACTTTGTTTTAGGGAAGTTGGGTCCCTCTTTCAAAACAGCAAAATGTGCAAATTTTTGTCCTCTGAACAAAATGATAACATGGTCAGGGGCCCATAGAAGTTTTCATCACAGGCAATGGCAGAGGGAATATCGGTTTGACACCAGTGTCTGTTTCTCACTCAGGGAAGGGTGACCTTTCTAGCAGCCATTTCAGTGCTATAGGTTAAATCTGAGCACGTAGCAGAGACTCACAGGAGCCAGAGCCAAGACTCAAAGCTATTCTAGTTTCAAATATGAAAATCTCTTCCAGGGCAGTAAAATACATTTCTGCCTGCCCTCTGTAACGTGCAGGAAAGCTGCCAGGGCAGAGCAGGAATAGATAAAATGAAAGATTATGGCTTTAAATGGCATATTAATTTATTGGCCTTATTAACTGATTAGACTAGATTTTCTTTCAGACTGCGTTTGCAAATTCCTCTTGGTATTTAATGTTATTTTCTGTGAAATGAAGTATACAATATCATTTAAGAACTTCAAGTAGTACTGATTTAAATATTTATTAGTCTAATTTATTGGTGTTTAAACTGCTGATCTGAACATTATCCTAATTAAATAGAGGATAAATTTTCAACAACAGAATTTTTTTTGTCCCTAAGGGAAGAGGAGACCAGCTCTGGTGTATTTTAAAATGGAAATAAACATGTTTCCATAAGTTATTCTGTGAGTAAATGTACTTCGGTTGAAAGTTTGTTCTTATCTTGCCCTTATCTGCACCGCTAGTGAAAGATTTTTTTTAGGCAATTTCAAGGGGAACCAAAGCAGACATGATGTAAATGCTATTTTTCTCTAACCTCTCTTGACAATGAGTTTAAGTTGCTAACTCCCACACATTTTCCCCCTCACTTTATGCCTAGGGGATGTAGCAACACTTTTTGTTGCTTCCAATAATACCTTATTCCCTGTGCACTCAGATTCACCCTGCCACCAGGTTTGATATCTTGAATTTTTATTTTCTTGCACTCAAAGTTCTGCAATGGGTTCAGACAGCTGGCCAAAGATGCCTCAACACCAGCAGTTGGGGATTCTGATGAAGAAGATGCTAGCCAGTACATTAATGTGATGTTCTGGGTGGTTTCACTTTTAATACTTTAGAAAACCCCCGAGCATGCATAGGTTTGATTCTGGTATGTACAAAGGCTCACAGAGATTTTAAATTTCATTTAAAAATATCTCTTTAAAGTCCATTTATAGTTCCTTTACAAATTGGATGAGGCTTGGTGTGTCGTTCAGCCAGGGTGGTCATAGCTATCAGGTCCAAGTTAGGTCATTTTGGAAGTACTCAGGGGAATCTCACAAATGTTTATCTTTGCATCAACTCTCAGCTTATTTACTACATTTCAGGCAGTCAGAAGGTGTTGTCCTCCAAAGCTATATTTTAGGAACTAGACAGCACTATTAACTTTAAGGAAAAAAAAAGGAAACCAGGGAGAACCTGATGATGATTTTACTTAAATCACTGTTATACCAGTGGCCTAAAATACTAATTTGGTTTAGCCCAGATAAAACATAAAAAGACACAGTTTGATCCATCTTCAACTATTTGCTTTTGTTCATGTAAAGTTATTCTAGAAGGTCATATCAACTCCAACGGTCATAATTGGGGCACTTGCAGGAGTTATTTTCAATATAAAGGAACTGGATTTGCTCAGTGCACTTTCTGATAATCCTCTATGAGAAATACATGCACATTAAGCTTCTGTGGACTGTTAACCACTGTTTATAATGTTCAGCTTCTGCCTGAGTTTTTCCTGTAATTCTAAATCGCTGGGGTTTTCAGAACTCTGTGCTAGAGTAGATATCACAAGAATATTTTAAGGACAATAAATAAATAAATAAATCCAGTACCTCTTACAATCAGATCTGCAGCAGCAGAGAGCCTGTCCACACTTGTCTGGACCATGCAGACATATTTCCCAGCATGCTTCAGTTGGATGTTTCGGATCATCAAATCACCAGCTGAATCCTGCTGATAAAGTAGGGGAAAGTGGCTACAATTACTTTTTAATGAGCTTTAAATACCATTATCACATGAAGGACACTATGACTAATGGATTTATTTTACACTGGCTGATGAAAACATTAGTGATGCAAGCCATGGCCTATTAAAAATATGTGAGCCTGCCTGAGAGATAAGCACACCAACGTCTTCAGAACACACCTTTGACAGGACCTCAGGTGTCTGGGTTCTCTGGAACTCTGCAGCAGTTTGCCACACATGTTGGAAGCACTTAAACTTGCATAAGGTGGCACTTGAGCTAGTTTTTTGGGGTTTTTTATATATGCCCTCAGCCTACAGCCTTCGCTGGCATTCCAATACTTTAGAACTCTATCTTTGGAAAGGGAAAGCAAGTCAACATTTGGAGGCATCTGCATTGCACTGTACAACCCTGCCTTATAGCCAGCATTTTGATTGCTCCCAGGTTTGAATGAAAGATTATGAGGACCAGACTCTCTAAGGAAATTTTGCATCATCTAGTGTGGAATGGTGCTAATTTGTTTTCCAAATGCCAAGTGCACACTTGATTAGCAGATGAATAGGACTAATTACATCCTGGTATGGATATATATGTGCCCCAGAAATATTTCTACACCTTTCAGCAGCATAGTACTTTTAATAAATATGAGGAGATGCCTCCACAGGCTATCATCAAGGCAGCATTTTAACTGAAAAACACTACTATACCTTGGAGTTTGGTTTCATAGCCCTGTTAATCAAAAGCTTGAGCAAGAGACCACCCTATGGGCCAGGTTCAGAAAGCTACACTTCTTTTTAAATCCCCAACAGATGACAAGATAATTTAGGGTATATTGGCTCCCTAGTCTTTGCATTTCAAACTATAGAAGAGAAAGTTGACATAGACCCTTGTGTTGCTATTTCTCCAAATCACAATAATAATGGACGATGCTTCTTGGTATTTAATATACATCAGGCACCTTCCAAGTGCTGTACTGATATTAACTCACTAAGGGCTCACTTATCCTATGAGGCAGGTACACTTGTTATCCTTACTTTATAGATGAGGAAACCAGCACAAAGAGTTAGGTGCCTTGTCTAAAGTCACTCAGCTAGTAAATGGCGGGCCAGGATATGCAGCCACATAGTCAGCTCCAGCACCTGTTCTTAATGATAATGCTATCCTACCATCCAGAAAGACTTTATCCTCATGCATAATTCATGTGTGTTTGGTTTCCTTTCTTTTTTCAGTATGACACATCACATTCATATTTACCAAGGACAATGGAAGAGATGGGACCACCAGTTATAAATAGGATTAGAGGAAAGGTAAAAGTGTGTAGTGAAGGGAGAGCTGCACTTTCACTACTCAGTTGTCTTGGGCTGATCCCTGTTGTGTGATTTCATTCAAGTCTCCTAATGTCTCTCAGACTTAGTTTATTGACCTTTGAAAGGACACATTGCCTACTGTGCTAGGTCGTGAGAATCAAATGAGATTGTATGCATGCGTATGTGAAATCCTTCTGAAAACTGTAAAGCACAGAGTAGATTTAAACTGTTGTTATCGATGGTCATGATTAATTTTTCCTGTGAAATAATCATGTCAAAGACATTAAATCTAATTCAAGAAGAGCTGTGATATTTTTAATCAAAAAGCTCATTTATTTATAACATAGGCTAGATGAGGAAACCAGCACAAAGAGTTAGGTGCCTTGTCTAAAGTCACTCAGCTAGTAAATGGTGGGCCAGGATATGCAGCCACATAGTCAGCTCCAGCACCTGTTCTTAATGATAATGCTATCTTACCATCCAGAAAGACTTTATCCTCATGCAAAATTCATGTGTGTTTGGTTTCCTTTCTTTTTTCAGTATGACACATCACATTCATATTTACAAGGACAATGGAAGAGATGGGACCACCAGTTATAAATAGGATATTTTTATTTTCTTGCACTCAAAGTTCTGCAATGGGTTCAGACAGCTGGCCAAAGATGCCTCAACACCAGCAGTTGGGGATTCTGATGAAGAAGATGCTAGCCAGTACATTAATGTGATGTTCTGGGTGGTTTCACTTTTAATACTTTAGAAAACCCCCGAGCATGCATAGGTTTGATTCTGGTATGTACAAAGGCTCACAGAGATTTTAAATTTCATTTAAAAATATCTCTTTAAAGTCCATTTATAGTTCCTTTACAAATTGGATGAGGCTTGGTGTGTCGTTCAGCCAGGGTGGTCATAGCTATCAGGTCCAAGTTAGGTCATTTTGGAAGTACTCAGGGGAATCTCACAAATGTTTATCTTTGCATCAACTCTCAGCTTATTTACTACATTTCAGGCAGTCAGAAGGTGTTGTCCTCCAAAGCTATATTTTAGGAACTAGACAGCACTATTAACTTTAAGGAAAAAAAAA